TGGAATACTGTTCCCATCTCTGCGCAGGGGCTCCCCAGTGCCAGCTCCTTCCACTTGACCGCATCCAGCGCAGAGCGGCTCGAATCGTCGACGGCCGAGCCCTTTCCGATCGGCTCGATTCATTGGCACTGCGAAGAGATGTTGCATCCCTTTGCATTTTCTTTCGCATTTACCACGGGGAGTGCTCTGAGGAATTGTTCGGATTAATCCCAGCCGCCAAATTTCACGAACGTACATCACGGCAGAACTCCCAATACCATCCACACCATCTGGATGATTGGCGGTCCACCATTGTGAAGATGTTTTCATCCTCGCACGACTTCCTTGTGGAATCAATTACCATCAGCGATTTTTCCGGGCCGATTCGATTTAGGGACCTTCAAGAAAAGAGCTTACTCTTTTTTAAAAGGCCGGTAACGCATCTGCAATTCCCCTGGTTCCCTTGGTGTTGCAGTTGTTCATGGGCGGCGGTAGTCACGTGCCATCAGGTGAACCGCATGCTCGTTTGCCCCCTCTCCTATAAAAAAAGTTATAGTTTCTTTCCGTTTCTCTTCATCTACAAAATCCTCTACCTCTCAATTTCAGCATTCCTAACACTTATTGTACATGCAATCGTGTATTCGGAGACATGGATTCGGTAGAAGTACAGACTCCTGCGGAATCAATGCAACAAGATGTGTAGAAATTTACGACGCCGCCATATCCATAAATCAGTACAAAACGAAGATCCATGTCGTGTTTGGAACTTTTTAAGATCTATAGGAGTTGGGAAAACACATTCACGCCCTATACCAAATAACGTCGATTTAAATTTGCTTAGTCAGCATTTTTCTTCTGTTTCTTGCTTGGATAATATGGCAAAATCAACATCACTTACACAACTTTCATCGTTTCCCACTCCTCACTTTTTCCTATTTGTGTTTAGGCAATTTGCAGATTGTGATGTTAGGAAACACATTCTCTCTATCCAGTCGTAAAATGATCATTCCCCTGTTAGATTTTTTAACACACACAAAACTTTTCCATATCTTCTTTTCCTAACCAATGCAAGAACGCCCAAATCATACCTATACCCAAAAAAGCAAATCCTTCAAGTTTTTCTGAATATCGTCCTGTTTCGATTCTTCCTTTCCTTTCCAAAGTCTTAGAACGCTTTGTGCAACAACAAATTAATTCCTTTTGTTTAAGAAATAGCATCCTCAACCATTTCGAATCTGGCTTTAGATCTGGTCATAGTACTACTACGGCGTTATTGAAAATCACGGATGTTTTACTCATAAGAAAATCTGTGCGTTAAAAATGTTTTATGTATTAAGAAATGGTGTTTTGAAAACAAAGTGATTGTTTGATTTTCAATAAAATATATGTAAACAAAAACTTCATCTTTTATAAATTTAAACTATCCTTGTGTTCGAGGAGGAGAAAAAAAAAACAATAGTTTCAGACCGGCAACGATTAGTAGGTAATATTAAAGTAACATTTTTCTAGCCATATTGCATTTTAACGATGAAGTGGAACCTCTACTAGAGAGAATTGGGGCCTTCAGCGGCACGTAGCTCAAGCGAAGCGAGAGAAAGTGACGCATATGCCCCAACTCTATCCTACTCCTTAAGTATTGCTTTTAGTGGGTTTTTTTCTACTGTTAACAAAACTTGTAGTTCATCATCATCATGATGATCATTATAGCCCTCTACAATAACAACATAGGCCCCTCCAATGAATGCTACAAAGGACAGTCCTGAGCCACCTGCACTTATTGACTTCCTGCATAGCTTACCAAGTCGTCTCTCCATTTAGTGCGGAGCTGCCCTACACTTTGCTTACCGGCACAAGGCTACCATTCGAGAACTTCTTCCCCATCGGTTGTGGCTTCTTCAAGCTATATGGCCGCCCCATTGCCACTACAGATAACTAATCCGCTATATCTCTTACTCTGGTTCTATTGCAGATACCCTCATTTCTAAGTTTCTCATGTGGAAAAACCTTGAGCTTAGCTTGCTGAGTGACCTTGAGCTTCCTTACATTACCAGCATTAAAAGGCTACATCTCAGATACATGTTATTTTGGCAACCCACTGGTTGTATAGCTTGTACCTAGTTGTAATTAGTAATTGAAAAACCTTACATAGCTCACTATTGTAATGTTCTACATTATTATGTCGTTTTTATTTATAGGTATTCAGATGCCCATGATGCCATCTAATTTTCTATCTATTGAAATGATGGAGGTGGACTTTGAATGACACTCGACAACTTTTGAGAGAAGGTAACTCATATAAAGGTATGCTTATTTGACAGAATATTTTCTGTGTTAAACTCAATGACTTTTATTAAAGACAGATGTAGTTTATTTAAGTAAATGATTCATTTTCTAACTTTACACTTACAGAATAATTTTTACAATGTATAAAGTAATAAATTGTTTTAATGCACTTGACATAACTAGTAGCAGTGATACTAAATGGTGTGTGACCAATAACTTTATAATTTGTGGTGTGTGACTGATTTTACTATACTTCTGAGTTCTGACAATTATCTTTCAAATGCGTGAGCACTTAAGGTGAAAGCTCCAGGATGGCCCGCGAAATTCAAATTTTCTTGCGTTTTTTGGAATTTGCAGTTCAGGGTTAGGTTGAATGCTTAATGAAATATGATTCGCGACTGTAACGAGTATGTGTTTATAGAATTATTATCATTAAAATCACCAATACAACCCTCTAAGTTCATATAATCCCTTTGAATGAGTTTTTCTGGAAAAAGCCATACATTGGAATTATACGAACATAGACGGTTGTATTAATGATTATAACATACATAAATACATAAACACTCACGCCTGTCACCCAGAGGGGTAGGCAGAGATTATGGACTTCCATTTGGCACGATCCTGACACACCTCTCTCGCTTCCTCCACATCCATATACCTACGCATACACGCTCGTCGGTTAAAGCTACTCTTGATTTGGCCCATTTTTAATATATCGCCAATTTGGTCGATAAACTTTCGCCTAGGGCGACCCTTCCCGACTATGCCATTCACCTCTGCAACATAAATTTGCTTTGTCACTCTTTCCTCATTCATTCTTTCTACATGGCCAAACCACCGAAGCATTCCTTTTTTAATCCTGGTCACAACATCATCTTGCAAACCACACTCTTCTCTTATTAAACAATTTCTCACTCTGTCATTCAGCTTCATCCCTAACATACTCCTTAATGACCGCATTTCTACAGCATTTATTCTACTCTCATGCATGGGGTTCGAGACAATTAAAAACTGCCGATTGAATTATCAAAATTGACACTTTAATTACACAACACTAATTACAATTTAAAACCACACTAATAATAAAACACAATCACTTTAGTTCGCAGTTATTTCGCTTCGAAGTATTCTCTTGTATCGCCAATTCAATACTGCCTTGGTCGTGGTCTATACCGGCCTTATATAGGGCCTCAGACAGTTTCCAGAACCTTCTACTGTAACGACATCTAGAATGTTCGAGTACATATCGGTCCCGAAATTATTATAATGATTATAATTCTGTAAATACATACTCGTTACGGTCGCGAATCATATTTTGTTAAAGCGGGCATTGGGAACATTTATATACAAAATTTTGAGATGGTGCGCGTGTGGCGCCCTCTAGATAAAAATGGCAAAACAACGCTAAGTATTTATTAAGACAACATATCAGCTATTCCCCTGTAGGTGACGCTGATAAATATAACGTCATTTTAGGAATGTTACCGTTTCGATATCAAAGTATCGATAAATTTGTTGAAGGTTACTAAGTTTGAAATAATTTTTGATATAATAATAGGGAATATACATGATTGTTTTATTGTATTAATCTATTTATCATGAATTCCATCACACGAAAAAAATCATGTTAACTTTTTACGCCCCTTTAGTGTCATGAAATAAAATATTTAATTTCCAATAACTAAGAATCAATTCAAACAGCAGTCACTTTGGTTACTACCTTGGTGACATCTTGGATGACGTCACTTGGTCCATTAGCTGCTATAATCATAGCATATTGTTACGAGCTTGGGGTTCGAGACAATTAAAAACTGCCGATTGAATTACCAAAATTGACACTTTAATTACACAATACTAATTACAATCTAAAACCACACTAATAATAAAACACAATCACTTTAGTTCGCAGTTATTTCGCTTCGAAATATTCTCTTGTATCGCCAATTCAATACTGCCTTGGTCGTGGTCTATACCGGCCTTATATAGGGCCTCAGACAGTTTCCAGAACCTTCTACTGTAGCGACATCTAGAATGTTCGAGTAAATATCGGTCCCGAAATTTCTGGAAGGATCTTGACTCTCCTAGTTCTGCTACTCGACACTAGAGGGCGCTAGTGTAACTAGTGTTGCCGTGTACAAGACATTAATAGTGGCGCGCAACACTGCCCCCTCCTAAGACATGCTCGTCCCGAGCATTATTGGCCCCATAATAACGCGCCAGTCGATCCACATGGACGATCTTAGGAGTACCTCTGGCACCTTTCTGTATCCGGTAGGTTACGTCATTGATCCTTGTCACAATCCGGTACGGTCCGTACCATTTAGCTTGAAGCTTAGGAGATTTCCCTTTGCTGCGAACTGAATTGTGTAACCACACTAGTGAACCTTCGTCAAACCCTTTGTTGTTCATTTTGCGGTCATACCGTGTTTTCATCTTCTCAGACGTTTGCTGGCCTGTCTGTCTGACGTGCTCATAAATGTCATTCATTTTGTTCCGCAAGTCATTTGTATAATCGGTTATACTGCGTGGGGCATCAGGTGGTATTCCAATGATCAGGTCTTCAGGCAGCCGTAATTCTCTCACAAAGTTTGCGAAAGCTGGTGTACCTGATGTACTTTCGTGAACAACGCTTCGATATGACAAAAGAAACGGTTGTATGTGCCTGTCCCAGTCTCGTTGCCGTTTTTCCACAACTTTTGCTAGGTACCTCTCCAATGTCTGATTAAATCGTTCTATTATTCCATCAGATTGTGGGTGGTAGTTGTTCGTGTTTTATGATTATCCATAACTCGGCAAGTTTCCTGGAATATTTGAAACTCAAAATTCCTTCCTTGATCGCTGCGAATCTCTAAAGGTACTCCAAAACGACAGAAGACTTCATGAACTAGTTTATCTGCAACTGTTGAAGTTTCTTGATTTGGAATGGTGAAGACTTCTGGCCACTTAGTGAAGTAATACATCACAACCATGAAATACTTGTTACAACTTTCACTTTCCGAAAACGGCCCTGCAACGTCAATGGCTATCCTCTCCCATGGTGCACCAACATTGTACATTTTCAATGCGCCTCTACTACAAATTTGAGGTCCCTTTACAACCGCACAACTTGTATGTTTGCGGCACCAGTCCTCGACATCGTCACGACAGTGGACCCAGTAAAACCGTTCTCGGATCTTCAGTAGAGTTCGTTTAACTCCCAGGTGGCCTCCTGAACAACCACTATGGTACAGCTGTAGAACATCCGGTACTTTAACCTTAGGGACAACCATTTGCAAATGACACCTGTCTCCCTGACCATTTTCCCATTTACGCCACAGGACTCCATCCTGAATCAGCAAGCTGTCCCATTGGGCCCAATAGCTTTTCGTGGTCGAACACATTGCTGAGACGTCGCTCCACTTGGGCTTAGGAGCACTGGCCTTCATCCATTCCAGAATCGGCTTAATGTCCGAATCTTCCTGCTGTGCATGTTGTAGGCTGTCCTTCCACTCATTGCTGAGCTAGTCTGTCCTGAGTATCCTCACAGATACCATTTCCTTACCCTCTTGCCTAGTACAATCACTGATTATGTAGATTGCATGAAACTTCAAGATGATCTTGTGCGACTTGGTAACTATTATGTGGTAAATCGTATAGGAGTTAATGTCAGCAAGTGTCTTTACGTTTCTTTCACAAAGAAAAGAGAACCTACAAAATTCAACTACCAAATAAATCACCTTAATATAACTAAGAAAGAATTAGTGAAGGATCTGGGGATATTACTGGATTGCAAGTTAAGCTTCTCAGAACATATTGAAACAATTACGCACTCGGCCTACAAAAGCCTTGGCTTCATCCTACGCGTAAGCAGACCTTTTACTGATATTAACTGTATTAAATTACTTTATTTTTCATATGTTAGAAGCGTCCTTGAATATTGTAGTACTGTATGGAACCCGTATTACACTGTTCATATAAATAACCTAGAACAAATTCAGCACAAATTCATGAGACATTTAAAGTATAGAAATTTTATTTACACTAATAACTATGAAGAGTCTTGTAAATATTTCAATATAATAAGCCTTGAGGATAGACGTACTCTAATGGACATGGCATTTTTGCATGGTTTATGTAATGGAAGTATTGACTGTGTAACTTTAGCTGATAGAGTTCTCTGCTTTTGTACTCCGAAACGTAGAACGAGACATACACCTTTGTTTGCGGTTGTTAAGACAAAGACAAACTATGCACAAAACTCTCTGGTGAATCGTTTACAAACAGTTTATAATAAAAGATTCCACTCAGTTGATATTTTCCATTTCAGTAAGGATAGGTTTAAAAAGGATGTCTTGAAACTTCTGATGCAGTGAGGTTAGGTAACTCACTAACTCATACACACACACACACACACACACACACACACACACACACACACACACACACACGCCCGCATGCGAGGGAGGAGCATACGAGCATTATTTATGTTGAAATTTTTTTGATTTTTCTTGTAATGTTTTCTAGATGTTTAAAAATATATATTTTTAGTCCCAACTACTTTGTCTTCAACATGTCCGTTATAAATTGAAAATACTATTTAAATAATGTAAATCCGTTTTTGGCTATAATTTAAGATCATAAGATGTACGTACGATGTAACAAAGAGCTGTGGATTTTGTTTGAAATAAAATAAAAATAAAATAAATAAAACAATGCTTGCAATCTTCAGGGCAAGGTCTTCTTGACAATGCATCTGCATTGCCATGAGATTTCCCGCTGCGATATATTCCTGCAGTAGTTCAATCCATCTCGCAACTTGTTCTTCCGGATTTTTGAACTGCAATAGCCATTTCAGTGCAGCATGGTCAGTTCGTAAGTGGAATTTTCGTCTCAGAAGATATTTGCTAAAATGCTACAACGACTTTACCACAGCAAGTAATTCCCGTCTTGTGATACAATAGTTCCTTTCCGGCTTTGACAACGACTTGCTGAAGTACGCTATCACAATCTCTTGGTCACCATTCCGTTGAGACAACACACCGCCAAGTCCTATATCACTTGCGTCTGTGTCAACTATAAATTCCTTGGCCGCATCATGGTACCCCAAAATAGGCGTTTTACACAGACGGTTCTTGAGCTCCTGGAATGCAATATCGCAACTTTCATCCCAGCAGAAATGTCGCTTCTCCTCGGTTAGCTTGTGCAGAGGTTTGGCTATATCTGCAAAATTCTTCACAAATCGCCGATAATAAGAGCAGAAACCCAAAAATGCTCTAACCTGTGTCTTGTCTTTTGGAACCGGCCAATCTTTGACAGCGGCAATTTTCTCTGGATCCGTGCGGATACCTTCTTCCGACACTACACACCCCAAAATGCTAACTTGCCGTTTGAATAGTGAGCACTTCTTCGGACTCAACTTGAGGTTGGCACTCTGGATCTTCATGAGCACGCGTTCCAGGTTTTGAAGGTGTTCCTCAAACGTACGTCCTACGATGATGATGTCATCCAAGTAGACCAGATTGGCATCTCCAATTAGGCCGGTAAGTACAAGCTCCATCAACCTTTCAAACGTTGCTGGAGCTTTGCACAATCCAAACGGCATGACTTTAAATTGCCACAGACCCTTTCCTGTGGAGAATGCAGTTTTCTCCTTATCCTTAGGGTCAATTTCAACCTGCCAGTAGCCACTTTTCAGGTCCAGCGTACTAAACCACTTTACGCCTGTAAGCATGTCCAGCGTGTCATCAATTCTTGGCAAGGGATAGCTGTCCTTTTTGGCAATGTCGTTCAGTACAAGCAACACAAAATCGCATGCTGCCGTCCTTCTTTTTTACCAGCTCCACAGATGAACACCATGGACTAGATGAAGTTTCAATAACATCATCCTTCACCATTCCCTCAATCATGGTTTCCACTTCCTTTTCACGTGCTACAGGCAATCTTCTTGGCCGCTGATGAATAGGCAATTCTTCTTCTGTGTTTATTTTGTGTTGAACTAAGCCATCTTTCCTATGTCAGCATCATTTGACGAGAAAACATTGGCGTACTTGAGTAACAACTTCTTCGCCTTGACCATTTCATTCGGGGAGAGAATGCTGCGACAGTCTTCTAAAAGTGTGGTCACTCTCGTTTTTCCATCCATGCTGGGGGTCCCAGTCGATAGATATTCGCACCGACGCAACCAATCCACTTCCTCACTAGTACCAACCAATGTGCCTTTTTCTATAATCTGTTCCTGATCACAAAGGTTACTACGTACTCCTGAGATTTCAGTGGTTCTGACCAAGGTTCGAGCCACTTTCCATGGAAGGTCATTGTCTACCCTTTCCACGAGTACATAACGATGAGCTTGCCCAGGATTCCGAGGAATACTGACCGGCACAATAGTTTCCAATTTCGGCGGAAGAACAATCTTCTTAAGGCTGTACATATTCCCTGGTAACGCCCCTTCCACAAAAAGTTCCTCTTGTCCACATTTCAAAACACCTTGCTTTACGTCGATCTCACAACAATTCTTCCTCATAAAGTCTAGGCCCAGGATGCAGTCGTCCATTATATCAGCCACGATGACATTATGCAGGTAGATCATGTTGCCTAGCTTCAACTCCATCTGCTTCTATCCACGGATGGGTATGCGCTGATCAGTGGCTGTCACCAAATAAATGCGTTCTCGGTTATATGCGGAGTCCCCAAGGAACTGATTTATAAGTTGGGAACTAATAACCGTGCGAGAGGCTCCAGTGTCTATGGTCAGTTTACACGGCGTTCCGTTGATCTCGCCCTTGTTGATTAGGCTATTCCCATCATGGGTTTGTGAGATCGAAATCCTTGGGGCTCTTTTAACAGCAGCCAGCACCCGCCAGTTTCCCTGCTGCTACTGGGCGGTGCTGTTAGCCGCACTACCCTCTCGAGATCGATCACCTTCCCTTTCTACACTTCGCTTAGGGCAACTGGATTGAAGATGGCCCCTTTTCCCACAGCCGTAGCACCTAGGGCTGTATCCTTTATTGCGGTCGCGAACTGTAGCTGATGCAACCTCCCTGAAATGATGAGAACGATGATCCTGCCGCACTGCTTCCACCTCCAGTGCATGAGTCAAGGCGTCCTTAAGCGTCTCGTGGTGCCCGAGCCTCACAGCAGCTCTAACTTCAAGGTCGCGGATGCCGTTGATGAATGTCTGCACCAGGTTCCCTACAATGAGCGCAGGTACAGACTGGTATGTTTTTTTGAATCAGCTTCTCCACCTCAAGGGCCCACTTCTGCAGGTTTTCGTTACTGCGTTGCACGCGATCTTTGAGCTGCGCACGAAAGACATGTTCCAGGTGAGCTTCGCCATATCTCGCCTCCAATGCCTCAAGGAGCTGCTCGTAAGTCACTTCCTTACCGAGAGCTTCCAGAACAGCTAAGGCCTGGTCGCGCAGGCCTAGGCTGAGAGCAGTCGAATTGGTTTTTGTAGGTAGACCAGGAAGAAGTCCCGTCGAACGGCGGCACTTTGAATCCACGTAGCGAAGGTGTTGTAGCTACCACGGGAGCTGTAACTCCATCCCCAATTTTGAGGTTGTCCAGCGTTTTCTTCACGTCAACCATCACGTTGTCAACCCGATTGTTCACTTGGTCGATTCGGGTTTCAGCTTCCGACAGGCGGTTGTCATGTTGAGCAACCCTATCCTTCACCTCCTTTATCTCTTTCCCGAAGGTAGCGTGAAGGTATTTCCTGAGGAGCATCTATTCTTCCATACCGCACCGATGGGCCTGTTCCTCCTGTCGGCGGGCCTGTTCCTCCTGTTGGCGGGCCTGTTCCTCCTGTCGGCGAGCCTGATCCTCCTGTCGGCGGGCCTGTTCCTCCTGTCGGTGGGCCTGTTCCTCCTGTCAGCGAGCCTGGTCCTTCAGCTTCACCATCAGAGCATCTAAGTCAGGTGCTGCAGATGCAGGAGCTGCTGACGGGCCGGCATCCGTGGTCAGCAACTGGCCTTCCGACGTTTGCGGCGTTGCATCACCAAATCGTCTCTGGTCCGTCTCCTGTTGGCGTTGACTTCGGGTACGGATACCCTTCGTGTCGTCTTTAGGTAAAATCGGCATATTTGATCCCACTTCTGACACCAATTGTTACGAGCTTGGGGTTCGAGACAATTAAAAACTGCCGATTGAATTACCAAAATTGTCACTTTAATTACACAACACTAATTACAATCTAAAACCACACTAATAATAAAACACAATCACTTTAGTTCGCAGTTTCGCTTCGAAGTATTCTCTTGTATCGCCAATTCAATACTGCCTTGGTCGTGGTCTATACCGGCCTTATATAGGGCCTCAGACAGTTTCCAGAACCTTCTACTGTAGCGACATCTAGAATGTTCGCGTACATATCGGTCCCGAAATTTCTGGAAGGATCTTGACTCTCCCAGTTCTGCTACTCGACACTAGAGGGCGCTAGTGTAGCTAG